TGGGCCCTTTCTAAGGTTTCTAAATGGGGCTTTATTACACACTGCAGGTAATTATAGGAGGCCTGGGCGAGAGCTCTGCGTGGCCTGAGGGCGCTTGGGAGGCTATATCGTCTTTCTGCTGACCTGGGGATCAGAATCCGCAGGGAGGCAGGGCCTCTCCCTTCGCTGGGTGGGAGCAGCCCTGGGGCACTCTCTGGCCTCTAGTGAGTAACATCAGGAAAGTCATCGAAAGCAGGAGCAGAGGAGACCTTTACAACATCCAGTCCAGGGGTCAGTCTATGTCCACATAGGCCACACGGAGAACGTCAGTGGATAAAGAGGTCTGGGGAAGGCGATAGGGAGGAGTGGGGCCTGTGGCAAACTGGAAAGCTGACTAGGTTCTGACCAGAGGAGAGGACTGCTGCTCAGCCCCAGGGAACTTGCCGCTGTGGCGAATGTGGGCCCCAGGTTCCTGGACCCCTCCCCCCTTTATGAAGGAGAGCCAGAGTCCAGAATTTCCGTGAGGTTTCCTGATTTTTAAAAGTTGCAGCTAACGGAGAGTTTCGCTGTGGTTGTGTGCCGCAGACGAAACAGCCCACGAAGCAGCGTTCCCATGTCCTCTGATGGAGCGCAGCGTTGGACAGACGGGGAGACGGAGGCTCAGAGTCTGGGGGCTTGCTGAAGGTCACCAGGGAGGTCGTGACCCTGAGGCACATGAGGCCTCATGGTCCTGTGGCTTCGCCTGGGCATGTTGGGCTGCCTGATGGGCTCCACCACCTTTTCCGAGGCAGGAACTGAAGCCCAGAGAAGAGAAGGGACCTGCTCAAAGTCACCCAGGCGAGTCAGCCTGGGGCTGCCAGAATGACCCTGGAAAGGTTCCCTTCAAGGCCTGACCGGGCGCTTGGCACAGGTCACATTCTGACCCGCGGCCAGTCTGCAGAAAGTGGCTCGCACACCAGCGGGCAGGAACCCACTGCTGCCCAGGGAGATCCGCCTGTGCATCTGCTGAGCTAACACTTTCAGCCCTGGAGGTTGCCTGGCAACCTGGATGCAGGTCCCGACTCTGCCATGTACTTGCTGTGTGACCTTGGACAAATTACTTCACCTCTCTGGGCTCACCTGCATAGGGGCACCTAATGCAAGGTTGTTGGGGAGATCCACTGGCTTAATCCACACGAAGTGTTGGAGACAGTGCACCTGTAAGTAGCGAGCAGATGTGAGCGTCCGCGTGTGAAGGGCCAGGCGCACAGTGGGTGTTCAGCAGATGTGAGCGTCCGCGTGTGAAGGGCCAGGCGCACAGTGGGTGTTCAGCAGGTATGAGCGTCCGCGTGTGAAGGGCGAGGCGCACAGTGGGTGTTCAGCAGATGTGAGCGTCCGCGTGTGAAGGGCCAGGCGCACAGTGGGTGTTCAGCAGATGTGAGCGTCCGCGTGTGAAGGGCCAGGCGCACAGTGGGTGTTCAGCAGATGGGAACGCCCGCGTGTGAAGGGCCAGGCGCACAGTGGGTGTTCAGCAGATGTGAGCGTCCGCGTGTGAAGGGCCAGGCGCACAGTGGGTGTTCAGCAGATGGGAGCGCCCGCATGTGAAGGGCCAGGCGTACAGTGGGTGTTCAGCAGATGTGAGTGCCCGTGTGTGAAGGGCCAGGCGCACAGTGGGTGTTCAGCAGATGGGAGCGTCCGCGTGTGAAGGTCCAGGCGCACAGTGGGTGTTCAGCAGATGTGAGTGCCCGTGTGTGAAGGGCCAGGCGCACAGTGGGTGTTCAGCAGATGTGAGTGCCCGTGTGTGAAGGGCCAGGCGCACAGTGGGTGTTCAGCAGATGGGAGCGTCCGCGTGTGAAGGGCCAGGCGCACAGTGGGTGTTCAGCAGATGTGAGTTCCCGCGTGTGAAGGGCCAGGCGCACAGTGGGTGTTCAGTGAGGACAACTGCCTCTGTGTCAGTTACCCACGAGCCGGTATGTCAGTCTTGCTATGTTCAGGAGGACCACACACCTCATGCATATCCACTTCCCCGTGCTCCGCCAACGAAAGTCCCAGACCCAGATAACCTGCTTTTCCGTCCTTGGGCAGCTTTGGCTGGATGAGAATTTTCCAAACGTGTTTGTGAATCTTTTAAAACCCCCCAGGTGAATATTCACTGTCGAAGCGTGCAGGTGTCTCAGGGACCGAATCCAGGTGCTGGATAACGATGCTGGAGCTTTGAAGAGGGAGGTCGCCCTCGGGGGCTGCCGTCCTTCCTGCGCTTGTTTGTGGCTGCGAATCCCATTCGTCTGCGTGAATCGCTGTGAGGGCTTAGGAAGGAACTGGAGAGTGGTCTCCTCAGATTCCCGCTCCATCCCCTGTCCCTACCCAGTGATGGATTTGTCCCCCTCACCTCTCTGCTCCAGCTGCGGTGGTCGCCCTGGGCTGAGGGTGGAGCCCAGGCATAGGACACCATCAGTAATGGGAAGACCAGCCTGCCCAGCTGGCCAGCCCCTTTCTGTCCGCTGTCAGGGACGCGAGTGTCCCCGTTTGCCAGAGGAGGGACGGAAAGCACTTTGCACGTCCATTTTGCGTTGCCGAGCAAGTGCGGGTCTGTGGGGAGCAGGGAGCCCCTCCGAGAGCCCCCCGTAATTCCAGCCGGCAGGGTCCCCACGCCTCCCGCAGCCCAGGCTTCACTTGATGTGAGATGCAGCGAAGGCCACGAAGCCAGGATGGTCCTTCACGGAGAAACACTTTGGGAAGTGGGGCAGGTGTTCCAAAGGCCGCCGATGGCTTTGTTCGCGAGGCTTCGTCTCTGATACTGAAATACCAGCGTGAAACGGGGTCTCGGCCTGGAGCGCCCGAGGGAGCAGGTGTGCGGCGGGGTCCCCACGGACAGAGCTAGCCCAGAGGAAGTGCCTGGGAGGGGACATCACGAGGAGCCGTTCGCCTTGGCTAACTTGCCGGGTGACAAGCCCTTGTCCTGCTGTGGTGACATGATCAGGCCTCGCTTCCCTGTCTGACCTCATCCTGGAAAATGATCCCTCTCACTCAGCCGGCTGCTCACACTGCCCTGTGGTTTCACACCGACTCTCCCCTCTGCCTGAACTCTGGTCCCTCGCCCCGCATGTGCCTGGCTGACTCACTCGGAGCTCCGGGTGCTGCCTCCCCCGTCACCCGCTGCCATCACCCGCTGCCACGCAGAACGTGACGGCTGCCTCGTGGGGTGCATAGGCTTCGAGAAGAGAGGGACGCGGCCTCGACCACCATTGCACCCCTGCGTCCCCACCAGGCCCCAGCCAGCCTGTGCTGACGACCGGTGGCTTCAGGCTGCACGTGCTCAGGCCCCGGGCTCCTGGGCCGGGTGTACAAGAGCCTCCTGCTCTGGAAACGTTGCTCCGAGCGCAAGAGCACGTCACGGTCACAGCCGAGGCTTCCCTGCCTCGGGCTCAGACCAGCCGCACACAGGGTCTGGGCCTCATGGCAGAGCCCGAGGCAGGGACCCCGGTGCCGACAGCTGTGGAGGTTCCCAGGCGGAGGGGGACAGGGGCTGAGCAAGGACACGCCCCAGCTGGACAGACCTTCGTTCAGCCTGATCACCGGGACCTGGAGCACAGCACTGGTCCCACGCTGAGAAAAGGGGTCTCATAGAGCCCCCAGGTCTCTGTCACTGTCTGGGGCCCGCCCCAGGTGTGGGCCAGGACCTGGCCACCCCCCACGTGAGGCATCTCCTGTCTGGCTGGGGCAAACCTTGGAGCAAGGGGCAGCTGGGAGCTGACAGCCACAGAGGCTGAGGGGTGGTGGCCCAGCCCAGAAAGGCCATCTGGCTGGGTGCCCACAGCGTGCCCTCTGCAGGGACCTGGCGCCTCCATGTGGCCTGACCAGCTAAGGAAGATACCGCTGACCGACACCTGCCTCCCAGGTCACTGGGAGCGACTGCTACCTAAGGACAGTCTGGCAGCTCTCGGTGGCTCCTCCATGCCACAGTCGGGAGGTGGCTCAGTGAGGATCCTTAGCTGTGATGACACGCGCGTGGTCCCCTGGCCACTGCACGCGTGGCCTCGAGGCTCACCTGTGACAACTCATGTTGCTTGTTCTGGAAAGTAATAGCTGTGAACTACACTGTATTAGGGTTTCCGCGGAGAGTCAGGGGCAGGCCGGTCCATCCTCCTTGCCGGGGTGGCCCCAGGTGACTAGCATCCACGGGCCTCCGGGTCACCCATTATTGACAGGCGCAGGTCAGTGAGCCCAGTAGGAGGGCCCGAAAGAAGCCCAGGCCCTCTCGACCATTCGGCAACCCCCCTCCCCCGAGGTATCTGCTCACCTCTCAGGTAACAAGGCCAAGGCAGCGTGTCGATGAAACCGGTGTCCACAGGTTATTAACACCGGAGCATTCTTACCGCCTTGTCCTGGTTTAGGGTGGGCCCCACTCAGCATTTAGGGAAAACCTAAAACAACAGTACTCCCCAGTTCTCGGATTCAGGTGCTCCAGCCCTTACACAATGCCCAGCTGCCTGCTTCCTGCCAGTTAGAACATTCCAGAGTCAGACCCCCCCCGCCCCCGTGGGGTCTGGGACTTGCCCTGTTGCAGGTGCCACCAGCGCAGGCTTCTGCCAGGGAGGAGGACAGCTTCCACCCCACAGACAGGCTGCCGCTCCCCCCGCCCCGGGCCCCTCCAGGCTCCCCGCCGTCAGAACCTCGGGTTGCTCCTCTGTCGGACTGGGGCTGGAGCTGCCTGGGGGCTGCTGGGAGGAGCCACGGACCTGCGTGGCTCAGCCCGGTGCCTGGTGCAGGCCGGGGCTCCGCATGAGCACACCCCTCCGATCTGTCGAGAGCAGGATGTGGTCCAGAGATCATGCAATACAGAGCTTTCACAACAGTTTGCAGCTCGAGTCGTACACCCAGCTCCCGTCTCCCACGAGCGCTCTGCAGGTGACTTGCTCTCTCCTCCCGAGCTCTGCACATGGACGCTGTGTCTGAGCCGGGCACCTGGCAGCGCTCTGTTAGACCTTCACATCCTCTCCCTGCGGTGAGTCTGAGCGTTTGTGTTTCTTTCTGTTTTTCAGATGAAGAGACTGAGGCTCAGAGAGGTTAAGGAACACCCCCGAGGCCACACACCTGGTAAGTGGCAGAGCTAGGATTTGAACCCGGCTCTCTTTGGATCCAGAACCAGTGCTCTTAATTGCCTTGTGCCATCTGCCTTGAACCCTGTTGAAACGATCATCCCCCTTCCACCCAAGTGTGGGGACCTGTGACTCGGTGACGGGGGTGCCTCTCAAGCCCATTGGTCACAGGGGCCCTCCGTCCCTGAAGGAAGCCTGTCTAACCCCGCGTGGCCCGGCAGTGTTCAGGGAAGGGGATGCCCATCGCATCACTAGAAAGTTCTGGTCAACCCAGGGTTCCCCCTCATTGCCGCATCCAGGTGCATCAAGTCTCCGACATGGGCAACAGGACACGGGCCTACGGGAAATGCACCCCGCTCTGGCCAGTCCTCGTGATTCAGAAGCAGGACCCCGCCTCCCTGACTTCACAGGCAGGCGCAGGGCAGGCCGTGGGGCGGGTCCTGCAGGCCCCGCCCTCCCCCAGTGAGGCCACACCAGATGCTGATGCCCCTCCGCTTCTCTCCTGCACCCCATGTGACTCTGGCTGTATTCTGGTCCCGCCTCTTGGGTCCCCTCTCTCCCTCACCAGGAGAGCCGAGCCCTGGTCCCCATCTTTCGGAAGGTTTCTTAGAAGCTGTTGCTGAGACGTCTCTGACAACGAACCAGCCCCGCTCTGGGCCGTGGCCGCAGACGGCTGCCCCGTTTGGTCTCTGAAGTCTTCAGACACCTGTGGGCTGGGGGCTGAAGGGGGTGGCATTCTGGGGCCACCGGCGTGGGCAGTGGGTGTGGTCTGTTAAGGGCTTTGGCTTTCAAACCACTTTGGGGGTGACGAGGAGGCCCAGTAGCTGGGCTTGGGGTCCCCACCGCCACCTGAACCGGAAAAGCTCCGCGTCAGTAGCTGGATTCTGCCTGATGTGAGACCCACTTGCAGGAACATTTGAAACGACCGTCTAACGGCAGCTGTCGTCCGGAAATGCGGAACGCGGGTCTAGGTCTGGTTCGGCCACGTCCCTGGGCCCCAGTGTTCCCATCTGTACAGTGGGCTCAGCTAGTAGAGCTCCTTCTCCATAGCCCTGTACAGCAGGGTGGCCACAAGCCTTTGACGAGGCTCGTGTGGGCTCTTTAGTGTGTGAGGCAGAGCCATGGCGCGGGGGCGAGGGAAGGGGGTGGTGACATTTCATGAAATCAGCCCCATCCTCCATGAGTGTCCTGGTCAAGACACACCAGAGCCTCACGCACACCTGGTACAAGCATGAGCCACGAGGCGGACAGGGAAGTCTCTCCGTGGCTCCTGGTTGGCTGGGAACCAGCGCGTGGGCCAGGTGCCTCCGTGTGCTGTGTGCCCACATCCTGCCCAGCCACGGAGGAGCCCAGCGGGCAGGATGCACATGTTCTGCCACCGTTCTGGGTGGCTACACAGAGGCAGTGTGCTTGTAGTGTTTTTGATTGGTCGTTTCTACAAAGGCCGAAGGGCGTCTGCAGGCCGAGCTCCGTGCCCCACCACCCGAGGACGGCTGATCTGCTCAGCCGGGGGCAAACAGCTGAGCGTGGAGAGGAAACCTCCAAACACGAGACCCCGAGACCAGAGGGCCCTGCACGCAGCTAGACACTGTCCGGAGCTGGTCCTGGTCAGGGCCGCTTTGAGGTTGTTCTTGTCACCACCCCATTTCCCACTGGTGGACGCTGAGCCCTGCAGTGACCAGGCCCCCGCCTGTCACTGTGCACAGCCCAGAAGGACGCTCTGGGCCCTGGGTCTGGAGCGCCGGTCACTGCCTTCGTCCCCACGTTCGGGCAATACAGCAATAAGCAATCATGTAAGGACAGACTGGTCCCCGTGCTCACAGCTGCTGACCTACCTTCCCACCCTTGCATTTGTTGAAGACCGATCATTGTTCTCAGGGGGCGGGGGCAACAGACGAAGTCCTGCCCTCCCGGTGGGGGCGGGGAGACAACCAACAAGGGATTCAAAGCACAAGGGGCGTGGCGTTTTCTGTGAAGGCCCTGAAGGAAAAGCCAGCCAGGGGAAGTGACGATGTGATATTTGATGTGATATTTCCGAGTGGTCAGGGAAGGCCTCGGAGGAGGGCATTGGGCAGAACCAGGAGTGCAGCAAGGGAGCAGGCAGCCCTGTGGATTCTAGGGTAAGAACTTTCTAGTTGGATGGAACAGCATGTGCAAAGGCCCTGGGGCAGGGACTGTGCTTGTTGTACCATCACACTCTTTGGTTCTGATTCCCTGTGTCTTTGCCTCCCCACTGTCCCACCAACACAGCTGCTACTCTGTGTTGTTCCCTCCGTTGGTCACCTCTGAGTGTCTGTAGGGGTGTGACAGGGGTACTTGTTGTGTAGCAAGAAAAATCTAAAACAATTGAATGGGGCAGAAAGAGGGTATATCTCTAGTAGGAAGTTCAGCTCTTCTTCCTTCATCCTCTCTGTAGCGTTCACTCTGGGTGACATTTGAAATGGTTTCATATTCCTGCTTTGTAGTTTTTTGTCAAAACACGTATTGGAACTGGACTGTGAGTTTTTAGTGCACCGTAACCCACTATTTCAGGCCCTTCTTTCCAAAGAGTGCAGGAACTTGGATTCCCAAACCCAAGAAATAGAGCGAGAAATCATGCTGGCGTTCACTGCTGACTCGCGCTGCTCATAGGAGAAGGGGCTCCGCGGGCAGAGCCGGGGTGCGGGCTGGGGCAGAGGCGGGCAGAGCCGGGGTGCAGGCTGCGGCGGAGGCAGGCAGAGCTGGGGTGCGGGCTGGGGCGGAGGCGGGCAGAGCCGGGGTGTGGGGTGCGGGCTGCGGCGGAGGTGGGCAGAGCCGGGGTGCGGGCTGGGGCGGAGGCAGGCAGAGCTGGGGTGCGGGCTGGGGCGGAGGCGGGCAGAGCCGGGGTGCAGGCTGCGGCGGAGGCAGGCACCTCTGTGCAGCCGTGGTCTTGGGCAGGCCCATCCCGTCGGGGGGTCAGTTCTCCCCGCCTCTGTGCTGGTACTGATGCCTGTCTGGCCCACCCGCTGGGTGTGCTGGAGGGGACATGCTTTGGCAGGTAAGGAACCAGGTTCTAGTCTTGGTGCCCCCAGACACTGGTTCTCCACCTTGGGCGAGGCCCATCTTCTCCCTGGGCCTCGGCTTCCTTAGGTGGCCGAGGGAGCAGGGGAGGGTGCTCTCTGTCACCCTGAAATGCCCCCGTCCTCTGTGTCCGAGGCGGGCAGCAGCCTGGCTGGCACAGAGCCTGCTGGCCGCTCCCCTGTGATTTCCCAGCTCTGGGGCCCATGAGGGGGCAGGCCCCTGGCGGTCAGTCCTCCCCGGGCACCCAGGTGAAGCTTCAACCAGTGCTCCCCTCTCCCTGATCGGGGACCTGTGGCTGCCGAGCCAGAAGCGTGTGTGAGCGGAGGAATCTCTCTCCTCGGGCCCCAGAGGAGTTATTAAGTCTTCCATTAACTGAATCTCATTCGGCTGGAAAAATAGTAATTAGAAAGCAGTACTGCCTGGTTACCGGCCTGTGAGCTCCTTGGAAGCTTCACAAAGATGCTCACAGCGCTTCTTACCGTGAGACTCAGAGCCTGGCCCTGCCTGCCGCCTCCCCAAGGGACAGGCGCCGCCTGGTGGTCGACCAGCCAGCCCATCATCTGTCAGCATCCCTGGGTTGCCCATCTTTCCGGCATCCATGAGAGGCCAGGGCCAAGGGCACAGTACCAGAGACACAGAACTAAATAAGACACAGTCTGAGCCCTCAGCGTCAGGCTCACCCCGACCACATTCTCCGTTTGGCCAGACTCCCGGCAGTTCGTGCTGAGCTCACCCTCAAGTCATAAAAATGCGCACGTTGGACAACGCTCACCTCTCTGTCTTATCTGCTTTCCCCAGTGTCGCCCCAGATTCACTGGTTTAATATGTTCTGTGTTCACTAACGAAAGCTAACGTCTCTCTTAAATCATTAAATTTTCTGCTGAAAGACACGTCGAGTCTTATATGAATTCTGGGGAGAAGGGGAGGAGAAGGAATCAGGGAAGTCTTCCTGGCGAAAGGGGTACTTCGGACTTGATGTTCACCAGCTGGGAGGAGGCATGAGACAGAACGTTTCTCTGTCAACAGGGGCATTTTAGTGACAATAAAAAGCTCGAATATGTGGAAAATAGAACACAAAGGTGTTCAGTCTGGGATATGATTTGGTGTCACTTACAAGCTAATACGTTAGCCTGTTAGTGTTTCATGGATGTTGGCAGAAGACGGGCGACTCCTGGGTCAGAGACCTGGGACTTGATTCCTCACGGCACAGCCAGCAGCGTGCGCTTCAGGTGTGTGCCGGCCACGACGTCCCAGGCTCCAGCCGCAGGCCAGGTGGAGGCCCCACGTGTCACGGTTGCAGCGTTGACCAGAGACACTGTAGCACACAGAAAGCGAGCCACTCGCTCACGTTTCCTGATTCCTCGCTGCAAACACGACCCTGAGAAGTGACCCGGATACAGAGCATCGGGCCTCTTGTTCTTCGCTGACCCCGAAAATGCGCATGAATGTGAGCCCCGTGGAGGCGCATCTTCTGACACTAAGTTGGCTTTGAAGAAGTCTGGATTCGCCCTGGCCAGTTTGGCTCAGCGGTTAGAGCGTCGGCCTGCAGTCCCGAGAGACCCGGATTCGGTTCCCGCTAAGGGCATGTGCCTCGGTTGCAGTTTGTCCCCGGCCCTGGTTGGTCGTGCGGGTGGCAGCCACTCGATGTGTCCCTTCACGTCGATGTTTCTCTCTCTCTCTCTCTTCCTCTCTCCCTCCCACTCTATCTGTACAAAAAATGGAAAAATATCCTCGGGTGAGGATAAAAAAAAAAAAAAAGAAGTCTGGATTTGAACCCTAGGCCTGACACTGAGACTAGGCAGACTGCAACATCGGGAATTCTTTCAGCCTTGGTTTCTCCTCGTAAGATGGGGGTGGTACCTACCCTTGCGATGATCATTAAAGACTATATAAGATCACTGTTCTAGAAACCCAGTGGAGAACAAGAGAAAGTCTGAGCTCAGGGAGCTGATTTGCATG